TCCCCCCTACAACTACGATGGGATTCGGCCAATCGACCCCCAACTAAATCGGCGCGCGTCTACCGCTATTCTGGGATGTTGAAGGCTGACGAGGCGGCGAGAGAGGATTACCACGCGGCGGAGTCGTCTTTTTTGTTACCTTTTTTTTACCTTTCCCGCGACATGGAGAGCGACGAACGCAGGAGGAGGAGGCGGCGGTGGTGGTTGGTGGTGGGGGGGGGCTCGAGGGGGGGATTCGAGAGGGGGGGGGGGCGGTGGTGGCAATGGCGGAGCGGCCGCGCGCGCCGCTTCAACAACTTCCCACAGCAGACGCGCAAGCGCCGGCGGCCGCCGATTGGTCAAGTCCGGGGAGGGCGCCCGCCAATCGGGGGGGAGGAGCCTCCCCCCGCAGGCGTTGCGCGGACTCCGCCTGCCGCAGCGGACGGCGCCTCCGGGCCGCCTCCCCTCCCGGCGCCCCCTCCTCGGCGTGGGCCAATGGAAGCGCGCGGCCCCGCCTCCGGCCCCGACGTTGGCCAATGGGAGCGCGCGGCGCCGCTGATGCGCTGTGGGAAATGCGGGCGCGAGGGTGGTGGTGGTGCTGCTTGCTGCTGCCCGCCCGTACGCACGCCCTCGTGTTGTTGTTGTTTGCTTGCCCCGTTATGAACGCACTTCGTTATTGATTTTTGAGCAGAGGTTTATTTTGTTTTTGGTTTAACACGTAAGGAGGCTTTCGCGACCAATATCCATGATACAGGCTTTTCTTGGGTTAGATCGCGTGAATGTGTGTCGTTAAACCCGCCACCACCCGACACAGCCATTTAGTAAGGTTTGGCACGTAAACAAAACGTGACCATTCGTTACAGGTACAGCACACCAGTGTGTATTCTATTGAATATACCTCGCTGGACTTTGCCTGCGAAGGATGAGGGTGGTTTTAGTTTCATTGTTTTTTTTGGGTGGGTGTGATTTGGTTTTATTTCCCGTACTTTTCACTCTCCCCTGTCGTGTTTTTGTTGTGACGTTATTATGAATGTTACGTTCCTGTGAAAAAGAGCGTTACACCTCATCAGATTCCTCCAGGAGAAATCAATTTTGTGATTTTTTTCATTTATATATTGCCCTTCTTTTGAGTTTGTTTACACCGTGAGGGGGGGGGGGGGTCTTAATATATTGTATTGTAACCCGTTTTGATGGCTTTTGTGGGGGGTCCCACGGAATGAGTGAAGCTCGCTGCTTTTGGCAATCGACGCCACACGGAGCCAGGGGCATTACATTTCTGTTATATATTGCATATATGTTCGACGACGTTTTGGGCAATCCGGCCAGGCGGCTCAATTGTCGAGCGGGCGCCTGGCAATCAAAGGGAGGAAGGTTGCCAGATTCAAATCCTGATTCGGGGCTTGACTCAGCACACCATCTCGACGGGGTCGACTAAATAAGTACCACTTTGCCGAGGAGTCAACAGTGGTTGTCCTATCGATATATTCGCCCCCGCCATCGGAATGCGGAATTTACCCAACTGGCTCAGCGCTGTGAAGATGAGATTATCACCGCCTCGCTTCTTCTTGTTTGAACGGGAACCATTATTTTTGTTAGGTTCAATATACCTTATATCTGCTCTGAACAAGAGAGATCTGCGATAAAGAGGGGTCGTCGCCCTAAACGTCAAGCGCTTACACTTAAAATAAACGCGCTGCTCATTTTCATTGGTCATAAATAGATCAAAGTTTTTCCGCATAAAAAAATAAAATGCATGAACCCAAACGTTGCATTGCTAAAATAGATGCACACTTTATTTTTTTTATTTTTATGCATTAAAACGACAGTAATTACTCTAATCAAAATTAAGCATTTTTTAATGTCAACATGGCAACACATCTAAATTATTGACAAAACTATTGCAAACCAATGGAATTACCGTAACGTTAAACTCCTATCTTGGTAAACTTTTGGGGAACACTTTTTTTGGTACATCAACCTGTGCGGAGCAAAATGTATCAATAGTTTGTTGGGTCGCGGATAGACGAGTAGGCACATGAGTAGTAGCCATAGCCTTCTATTATAAAAGCCCGGCATTCCGTTTGTCCGTCAACTAAATTATAAGAGCCTTTCCGAAGGCCTGAATCGAAAAGTAATAGAAAGTGCCCACCACCCCCAGATGTCGGGGTAAAACATTTATCCAACAGGTTTACAAAAACTGTCGGACCCCCAAATTGTTTTCACTCCCCCCCCCCCCACCAAAAAGACATTTATTTTGTGGGCATATATGCCTACACGCCCTACATGCAATAGAGTCAGTAGTATCTGCACACATGGGGGGTGGAGGGGGAAGAAGAGAAGCGTGGAGAAGCCCCTCCGCAGGAGCTAGAATAAGGCGGCCGCACGCCTCCGAAATTCTAGTACAGTTTACTAAATGTGGTGTGCCGAGTGCGGAAATTAATCTTGTCGCGGTTTTGGACACGCAGCTGAAATCAAGCCTTGGGTATATGTGTCACCTGGAATACGTAGCAGGATTTTCTTCGGCGAACCTGTCAGCAGCAGACATGTCAGTCAGACCTGTTAGATGCATATCTTTTACCCCAGGATTTTCAATAGACAATGCACAGTACTATTATATTTTCAAGAAGATTTTAAAACCAATCAAATTACACTTTATAGCTTTGAAACTCCACCTGAATGCCAACATTCAAAATCGTGACTTTTATAAATCCCAACTCTGCTACAGCTCCAAGCCATTGCACTTTGTCTATGACCTCTCCGCTGCTCAAGATTTGAAAATGTTTCCCCATTGAAATTTTGAATAAAAAAATAAGAATGAAGTTGGGAACTTTGTTTTTAAATAAATCATGTTTCTCATCTGTATGGACAGATATTATAGCTCCAACCTATACGCTTATCCGAGACCATACTGACAACCTCAAAAACTAATTTGGATTAATTAAATCGTATCTTACATTCCACCAGGTGCTTTATCTTTCAAACTATTCCATTCATCACTAATCTTTACTTCAATACGGCTTATTACCCTCTCAACAACGCGAGAGACTCACGAGGCCATGTTTATCTTACATGCATACACATAACTTAGCCCATTACCCACAACTTTCGATATTTTAAATTTCCCTACAATATTGTAGTGCATTGCACATAGGACACATACAATCGCATTCCATTGCTTCAAAAATCTTGGTTACACCTCCACAGCTACGCTGTAAATTCTGTATGACAACTTTACTTGCTATTTTATTTGACATTTCCCTGTCTGTTTCCGTACGAGTGCAATAATAATCGTAAATACATGTTGATGTCTCTATAACGTAATTCTAATATGAATGGTTTTTAAAATAACTTATCCATGCCAACTTTTGTTAGACGTCGCTTGTTTGGTTGAATATTTATTTGTGCACTTTTCGACATTTGATCTCATTTCTGTTTTGTTGTTGATGTACTGTACTTGCTTTTACGTTATTGCTTTGGTCGTTTTGGTGACCCAGGTCACTTTTACAAAATAGACTATCCTTAGTAAAGTTTTTATTTATTATATCACTTAAATATAATATATATATGAATATCGCGTAGACTATCTTGTTCCTGTTCTCTTGAGTTCTCACCTGGATAAACAAAATCAACTTGAATCTTTAACATGAATTACGTTGCTATTTTACCAAATGTTAGAGGTAGGAGTACTACAGGTATAATAAAGGGCTCAGTAATCCCAAAAGTATAGTATTGTAAAATTAAATGCACCTTAAAAGTAAATGGTCACCATTCAAATGTTACACTTGAGCTCATGGGGCAAGTGAAACAGAATGAGAATACAAACGCGAGTAATAACAAAAGAAAAGATCGGATTCTTCTATCGAAGTCATCAAACAGTGACAATTAATCAACTCGTTACACACCTGTGCTATGCGTAGGAGTGCAATGGTAAAGCACGAACCGTATAGGCTTCATACAAGTGGAGTATGTCCGTGATTGAATCGTCGTCCCCCGGGGAGATTGAGTTATGAGATGAGCTCACGAGCAGGCGCGGTGTGGAACGGCCACACCACGAAGCTTTATTTTGTCATGAATGTGTCCTATGATGAAAAAAACATCGCTCGAAACGGCGCCTATTACTGTATACATTATCCTTTGAAGGCAGCATTTATTGAGGAATGTGTTTAGTTTGTTTTTATTGTGCTCCTGTACCACTGCCAACGCAGCAGCAGCACCAAATAATGCATGCTGGTGATCATTGTATGCGGGCTTAAATGTTTCGTGGTATAAACCCTCCTAGTGGAAGTAGTGATGGTGCTGGTAGTGGAGGTCTATATGCTTAATTGGTGGTAGTGGATGTAATAGTGGTGGTGGCAGTGGAGGTAGTGGTGATGGTAATGTTGGTAGTTGTGATGGTAATTCTCGTAGTAGGGGGATCACGGTGGCGAGATGTTAACTCCCTCGTGTGGTATGCTGGAGAGTTCGATTCCGACGCCTGTATATTTGGAGTTTGCATGTTCTCCCCGTGGTCGCGTGACCTCCCGTTTTCCCCTTAACATTTATCAACATGCACTTAGAGTATTTAGCTTCTGTACATTTCCACATGATAAGCCACTTAGTTGAGCTATCATTTGTGGCCAGATCGCTTCTGAAAAAAAGAGCTATATAGCTCAGTTGGTCTTACCTCGTAAAATAAAAAAAAGTTTAGTTTTATAGTTTAGTCCCACCATTCTCCTCCCCTCCACCTCCCCTACAACGGGGATGAAGGCTGGGTTGGGTGTTTTCCGGAGCTCAACTCCAGCTGCTGCTGAAACGAATCTTTGATTGTATTATCCACATCATATTCTTGGTTCTTTCGGTAAAGTCACGAAAGCTTTAAATCAAAATGTATCCACTGCATCAAGCAGCACGTGCCCGTACTGCTGCGGAGGCGTCACGTGATCCTCGCCGATGCCTCCCCCCACCCCACCATCTCCCCCCCTCCCCATGCACCCACCGCGCCCACGCCATCCCGCCACCTTGAACTCTCGCAAGACTTGTCCGCGAGTTCTCGCGAGACTCGCCGGTGGAGCGGAACCGGAAGAGGAGGAGCCTCGCCCGCCATGCCAGTGGCCGTGATGGCTGAGAGCAACTCGGGCGGCTTCCACAAACTCCTGGAGCAGTGCGAGAGCCAGGAGCTCGAGGTGAGCGATGCCCTCCTCCTTGCCGCCGTCATCGTCGTCGAAGGGCAGCAGCGGACGGAGCCTGACGCTCGGCGCCGACCCGGGCTTGGTGGAGTTGACGGCTAGGCCCGATGAGGCCTCAGGCGGCGAGGTTGCCGGTCTCGCCTAGTCGCCTGGCCGGGGTGGACTCGCGCCGGAACTCCGCCGGGGGATCTAGCCGAGGGGCCGGGTCTGAGCCGCGCCCCCGGGCGTAGCCGTGCAGCACGCGAATGGTTCTGCGAGGATCGCGGCAGGCGTCGATAGTTCTTAACGAATGGAGGAGAGACGGGGGTTGATGCGCGGGGACCGAGGTGCGATGTGTTGGCCTGGCGTGCGGCCGAACGCGCCGCGGTTGATTGAATGGGAGAAGGGGCATGGGAGGAGCAAGTCATTCTCACGGGCTCTCGTGTCGGTTTGAGTGTGGCAGTGAGTGTGCAATGCGTGTTGGTGTGTCGACGGTGTGGTGGGGGGGGCATGGACTGCACGACCAAACTGGTAGTCCAAGTTCGATTCCCACACACGACCAACATCAAAGGCGAGTTATGTCCGAACCGGGCCTCTCCTAGGTCTCTAACGCGTGCTAAAATGAGTTAACTGGTGTGGTGTATAAACATCCGCCACCCCCCTCCCCCTCGTGCGCCGTGTCGGCCTTAATAGGTGCAAGCTTTAGTTACCCAGCATCCTGTCGGTGTCAACGTTGCATGATAGATGCGGCTATACTACCCCAGTGGACAATTTAAAATAGCCCACAGGTGCGACTACTTTCACCAAACTCAAACGGTGGACCACAGTACACCACTGCCTGCTTAAATCATTCGCCGGGAAAATTTCATGCATTCACCAGACTACTCTTGCATCCGTCCACTGGCTCGTTTACATCGACATGAACATGTATAATTAACCCCCACTCCAACATACAAAAGAAGACGTGTGTGTGAACCTGCTTGTGTGTTTGTTCCAGATATTCAGTTAAGACTGACTTGGCCAAAGGGAGGCATATGACGAATTCTGATATCACTTTTAACGGATGTTAGCAGCGCTTTAGTGTGGTTGTTGATGGTTCGTTTGCGCCGTTCAGGTCTTAATAGGTCCTCACTCTTCCAAAAGTCTGTCGTTATAGGCTATCGGGAGCATATTTGCTCCTCGTGTGTATTTCTGGACATGCAAACCATTCGTGGAAAGTTATATTTACACTCGCCTAGGCGTCCTCCCTAGGTCTACTCGGGCGTAAATTGGTTTCTGGTGCTATGTATAAACTAAGGAAACAAAGATAATCTATCTGGGCGTGGTGCTAGCCCCACTACCCCATAGTGATCCTTGCAGGTGTTGACAGGTGTTTAAGTCTCTTTAACAGTCTGCGCGAGCTGAGTGTGCAGCCTTTGACTGTGTGCGTGGTGGTGTTGTCATGTGTCTGGCTCCGTCAGTCTCCAGGTGGCGTGGCCTCTCCTCAGGTGTATGGACAGCTGCTCGCACTATATCTCTTAAACAACGACGTGTAAGTGCTTTGCCAGTTCTTTAATGTCCTGCCAAAGTATTTGTTTTTAAATCACCAAATGAATTCATGATGGACGGAAATGTTTTGAATCGTTTCAAGTTTTGACCTACAATTCATCCCGCTCACTCGGCTGTCCACTCCAGCATATGACAAAGTTAGTCAATAAACAAAAATACAATATGACACCGGTCACTTGCTTAAAGTTACTGTGACCACATGAAATGCTGTCACATTCTGATGTGCAGTGTTGTACAATGTGCAATACGTTTTTTGAATTGCCGAATTATCGTTTGTTTCTTCAGGAACAATGCAAGGTATCTGTGGAAAAGAATCCCTCAGGCAATTAAAACTGTAAGTACGATCAACTGTTGGAATATATGTTTTGTTTATAATGACAGGAGTGCACAAAGTTAAACAAAGTTACTGTCAGTGTACAGTATTAGCAATTAATTGTATTGATTTGCAGTTGTGTGTGTTAGCAGCGCATGCAACTGTAGACTGGTTATTGTGACTGTCCACCGCTTTAAGCATATGCCGGGTCTGTCTTTCCCTTTGCGATTGCACCATTTGGATGCACAGTTTCATTCCAAGTTGAAGCTTGTGCAATACGTTTCCATAGTCTATGTCTTCCATTGCATGCGTTTTGAGCGCTAATGAAGCTGGTATCTCTTGCCACATTAACGCCACTTAATATTTATATAGCCTCTAAATGCAACCGCAAGATGCTTTAAGTGAGGCATAACGTTAAGAATGGTTGTGAAATAGGAAGAAGAGTGAGGCCCGGGACACATGGGAGAGAGGAGGAAGCAATATCATAGCAATGTACAGCCCTTTTGTCAATCCACTGCTGGATGAAGGCCTGCCTACACCATGCACATTATAGACATTTGCCCACTTCCCCTTGCTTATCACTGTGGGTTTATGAAGGCAGGAAACATAGACTTTGGAGCATAGTACAGCACAACAACGGATTTTTCTGCATTGCCCTCTGCCGACAACGTCTAACACGAATAGAAGTTTGAATTTTAGATTGCAGATTGGCTTGCGCAAGTGTAACATCCGGTATTCCGTAGTTTGTAAGGAAGTGATGCAGGCTGCACGCGGCGCGACGTGATGTGAGCAGGCGAACCCAGAGCTGGGGGCCGTGTGGTGCGTGGGGCAGCGGATGTGGCAGCGCGATTTCCCAGGCGTCTACAGCTCCATCGGGGCACAGTCCTGGTCGGAGGCTCTCCAGCCAATCCTGCACGCACTCAGGGGTGAGCAGCAGTGATCTCCTGTAGCATTTGCAGGAATCCCAAATGCGTCTGTGTGCGCGTGCTTGGTTATCTTTTTGCTTACTGTTACATAATGGCAGAGCCAGTCCTTGTGTTATTTCAGCTGGCAATTGATGCAGCTTTGTTTTTTACTTTGTTTCTTATTAATTTTATTGTTTTAATTTGTAATATCAACCGTTCTGTTTGCAAATATATAACTATCGTTACATTGTTATGTGGAATATATCAACTATTTTTAGTCATCAACTATTTGTTGGAGATATCTATTGGAGGGATGCAACTGAAAATATGTATACCTAGGATCTGGATGAAAATAATTAACAAGGCAGATAAGCGTAGGTTGGAATGCTTTTAGAGAGCTTTACTTTATAAAGGAAAGACATACCAGTGTGCTAAAAAATAAAGTTTAAAATGAGCACAAAGTACCAGATATTACGGTTGTAGTACATCATAAAAACAATGAACCTAAGTAAACACTTTTAATAACTTTTAAAAATAATTTTAATCAAATTGAAAGTCTTATTTGGGTTTTTTTTCTTCCTAAAGTTACTAATATCAAAATTGCTACACTTTGATGATTTAAATTTACATTTACAAGCAAGGCATTCATTTGTATGGAAATATTACATTTAATTTCTACTTTTTGTAAAGTGCTTTTGACTAAATAATGCGGAATGCACCCGATCTTGTCAGGTCTTGGAAGCTACGCAGGCTTGAACCTGGGTAATTCTCGAATTGGTGACCACGCATAACAGGTTCTATAGTATGCATGGCTACGCCATTGTTTTTTATGAAACCCGATTTAAGAGCTTATTGCTCACAGGGTAATTCAAAATAAACTGAACTGTTGTACTCTACTTCACTGCTCTGAAGTCGACCTTCCTCGCCTTTTGTTATCCCTCACTTATCAGCGTGGTGATATATGGTAAAATCGCTCCCATGACCGGCATGGCATGGGTAGGCCCTCATCTGGCAATGGATTGACAGAGGGCTGTAAATCTAAATATAATTTTGTATAAAGGCATAGATAGCCTCCTCAGTCAATGACTTTCAGAAGGCTTGTTATTTTTCTTTGGGTCTTTCGGTAAAGTTTCGATCGCAACAAGTGTCCGTCATCTTGATGACGAATGCTTGTATTGCGATCGAAACGTATTTTTTTTGTTATTTTCTTTGAACCTATCTACGAGACTTTACCGAAAGATATTCTATGGGTCTTTCAGTAAAGCCACGTAGATAGAAAAAGAATAAAAATATCACGACATTTCGATCGCAACACAAGCGATCGTCTTCAGGTGAGAAGACGATTGCTTGTGTTGCGACCGAAACGTCGTGATTTTTTATTATTATTTTTCTATCTATGTGGCTTTACCGAAAGACCCATAGAATATGTATTTAAGTCAATATTCATGGCTTATTCTGTTTGTGTCACAGATTTTCACAATGCAGGGGTTTATTTGTTGGTCTCACTGGTCATTTAAATGAGCAGGCAAAGGATGACTCATGCCACTGTACATTGTGACACTGGAAGCACTTCAATGACAATGAGTCGCTGGCAATAAGCTGACCCTGTTTGGTGTTTGTAATATACACTGATCAATAAAAATCGTCCAACAATGATTTATATTTTAATACGCTAACTGTTAAATGTAATTTTTATATGTGTAAGTATGTGTTTGTATGATAATTGCCTTTTTGTGGATGAAAAACTTTGACAGCTTGGGGCTGGTGTATTCCTTTGAGCATTTAACAAGGGTGACGTTCATGTCTTCTCTTTAAATACAACTACTGACTCAAAGCTACTCAGAACATCTACATTCAGCATGATTGTTTCAGATGTGTCCAGGTTTAAACTCATCAGCTGATGTTGAATGACCAGCTATTCAAATGAACATGAACTTATTTAAGCATTGTATGTTGACTTTTGAATGTAGCAATTGTGAATGAAGCCAACCACTTTTTGATAGATTTTTTTTGTTGTTGTAGTAAATAGACAGGCACTGATTGATTAAAATAAATAGTTCTGCTAATAGTACTTACATTAATTTGCTAGTGTAATAGTATTGTACTTGCATTTACCATTTCTACTACTCCAGTCGAATAATCAAAACATAAAACGATGGAACTTATTTGTGAGACAATAAAACAAGAATAAAAGTAGATTCTCGCGTGACATGGTTACCCCGAATCGTGAAAATCACAAGGAGGAGGAAGGGATGAATTGTTGCCTATTTGTACATTTGTAATATTGCTGGTGGCAAGTCAGTTGGTTTTTTGATAGACCCTGCTGTCCGCATGCATTCTTGAAATGCTCGCACTCAATTGTTTTTATTATTTTTTTTCTCCCCAGGAAAGCTTCACTGACTCATGATTCTCTTTAAGGAAGGTCCTGCCATGGTTTTGCAGGAGAAAGGGGGCGATGGTTTCTATGCGTAATCCAACTTGAGTATTCTTTTAGTCATTTTTCAATTTTGGATTCTAAACCCCCGGCACACAGTGGCCAACTTTTTCGAATGACTTAAAGTGATCTTTAATGTCCACTGTGAAGCAGACAACCACGTATTATTATGGTAAAATCGCTCCCATGACCGGCATGGCATGGGTAGGCCGCTCGATTCAAAACATGAACGTCTAAAAACGCGCTACCGCCGGGCAACATCAATAACCCCCCCCCCCAACTCTCGTTCACAGAAGAGACAAGGAAGAGGGCATTCTCGCTGGTCGCGCAGGCGTACACGTCCATCAGTGCTGACGACCTGGCGGCATTCGTGGGGCTTGCGGTGCCCGACGCCGTGAAAGGTACACGTGTTCCGAATGCTGCTACCCTGTGCCTTCCCTCCCCATCATCTATGGTGGGGGCGGGGAGGGCACAATAATTATTGTAAGGATAAACCAATATGAATAAAAACGTATAAATTGTCTCTTTGTGTGGCTTGCATTGTATTGTTATCGCTATTTAAATACTTCGGAGCATGCAAGCTTGTAGGAAAGTATGGCAGAATCCATGCGTATGCATGATTTTTCGTATTTGTTTGCCTTATTCTGCAATTCCATTCGCGCTGTTGCCGCCACATTGTTACGAGACAAACGTTGCCAATCAGAACTCTTAATGAGCAGTGAATCGCGCTATGTTACAGGATGGCCCCTGAAGATGACATCACCGAATTATTAGAGTCCCTTCAGTCAGCCTTTTGATCCACACTCAGAACGTATTTTTCATATTTCTTGCAAAGAGTGTTTATTACATATCAGTAATCCTCAGATTTTAATTAAATAAAAAAATACAATATGATGTCTTTTTGCTTCGTCAAAGTCATTGGAGACCAGGCTGAGACCATCAACTCACCTCGCATGGCTGATGATGGTTGATTGTGATGAACCAAAGTCGCTACCCAGATTCAAACCCAGGATCCTGGCAGTATTGGCTCAGTGCTCTAAATGGTATTATCCCAGAGCCAACCAGCAGCCTCTCCTGCCCACATAGTCATGAGGTGCACACTCGGATGCGCCATCAGCACTTGAAGGTAGAAATGTGACGTCCTGCTGGATGTCATTTGCTTGGCTTCCTAGCCACATTTTGCATGCTGGAATTTGTTTATTCAATTATAGTATTGCTTTAAGAAGGCTTTGCATAAAGTTATCAAATTAATCATTTCGCACATGGATACGCCTATATTCAATCTTGATTTGAAGCTTTAGAGTACGGATATATTATAAGGGTTTTTTCTTCCCAGAATCAGTTAGCTGCTGTATCCTCGGTTTGGTAGCCTACTTTTGTAGTTTTCCATACCGATCGATAATGAACCACTCGTCAGACCTGGGGTTATTTATAATAATAAATACAGCACACTGTTGTCTGACGTTGCAATTATGTTGATGTTGGAATTTCCGTTCGAATAACATTTACAATTCTATTTGACCTCTGTTCTGCAGGACACAGTCGCCAACATGAATATATGTCACTTGTGTTTTGACACTGCTACTTGGTGTTAACCTCTTTACGAGTTTGTTATTGTCGCCCTCTCCAGCGGTAGCGGAAGAAGGCTGGAATGCAGACTCCATCACCAGGATGATCGTGCCCAAGAAACCAGGTGGGGGCGACCTTTCTCCACTTTGCCCGCCCGCTGCCGCTGCAGCGTTTCCCCTTGGGGTGTGAAAGCGATTGAGCGAAAGTCTGCGGTTATTAAACAGCGCTGCACTCTTTAACAACATGTGATGACGTTCATGGTCACCTTGACTGCTGCAGCAGGGCCTGTCATTGCCAATACCTAATTGGGCTTTTGTAAAAAAAAAGTTATCTTGTGTGATGCATTGTCTAAAAAGATAATTTCTATTATCTCTTGGGTGAAAGGTTTCCTCATTGCTTGGGCTTGCTCATTTTATAATTTGTCATTGCTCCAGAGGAAATTGGCTAGATGTGATTTCGGGCAGTCATCTGCATGCATTCTGCTCAAGGGTGCAGCACAATTACCTAAGCGATTGGTCATAAAATCTTGAATTGCCCCAAGCACCTTCCGTTGCAGACGCCTCTGCTGCAGTCAGTCGTTTCGAATCCATTTCAGCCGACGTGCAAGGAGTGAGATTATGACAACGTAGTGTTGCCGTTGAGTCTTAAATTTGTCCCGCAGCTGTTTCAAGACCTGCAGGTACAATGCCTTTCAGTGCGAATTCATTTTAAAGTGTGCCAGAGCATGTAAATACAGATGGCAGTTAAAAAGAATCCATGCCCGCAGGAATTGGCCTTCAGAAATATATGGAAATGCATAATTTCTGTAACCTTCACATCCAGTGAAATGACTTTGAAAATTGAGTCCATAGTTGTTACTAAAAGAGATGTAATATTTAAAATAAGCATAATACAGGGTGATTGCTTCCCGGTCAGGAAGTGGCTGTGTCCTTGCCCCGGAGCGGGCAAGACCGAGTGCCGTGGTGACTTATCTGGATGCAGCAGCTCTCGTTTACTCGGTGTGCTCGCTGTCTTGTTACAATTGTTGTCGGCTACGCGAACAAACATACTCCCATGGTGTACAGTGATTTTTTCCCTAAAGAAAGGCAAATCGCTTGGAGGCGGCGAGTGACTTTTCCCACTGGACTGGTGGATGCCACACCCTGGAGTGTTGTAAAAGCTATGTAAACAAAACAACGGAACGAGCAGTGACGTTGCTCTTCAGATGTTCCCCGTGGTGCCCAAGTGCTTCTATGGTCGTTTCCTCCATTGTCGGACTTTGCCGCTGAATTTAAGCTTGAAGCTCCGGATTTCTCTCTCGATGGCCATCCGTGACCAGCTCATTCACAGTGGCTGCATTGTCCGTGACCTTGCCTGGAACAAGTTTAGAGTGACCCTTGTGGGACACTGATTCTGGAAAGGATGAATTTGTGATTAAAAGTACATTAATGGTTATTTTTGGGCTTATGCGGCAATCGTTTATTTTGAGAAAGGTGGGCAAAAGCTAACCGCTAATGCTTGGCGCGTGCCTCCCTCTGATAGAGCCCCCGCCGGCCCCGTCAGTGCCCAGCGACCAGCAGCTGGGGAGGCTAACGGACTACGTCTCCTTTCTGGAGAACTGAGCGACAAACGACGCGAAAACGGGGCGGTGACGCTCAGCGATGCAGTTGCCTACCGGGGTCGGGGGAACGCCGGGGCCTGCCTGCCCCGAGCCCCTCACCACCCGCACCCCCCCCTCCCCACCCCCCGTCCGCCCGCCTGCCCGCCAGCCATCCCGCCCATCCGCACGCACGCACGTCTGCAAGAGGGCTTTTTGGGGGGGAAGGGGAGCAGAGTCCACCTCGTGCTGGCGACTGACCAGGAGGGACTCTCTCCATCCCGCCCTCCTGCACCTCCCAACACAGAGCTCCTCGCTAGCCTTCGTGCTGCCTGCACTGGCAGTCCCCCCGCCCCCTCCGCCTTCACCTCTCCCTCTCCCCACCCTTCCTGCCAGCTTTCTCCACACAATTCTTGGCTGCCGATGCAGATGTCGGCTTGGACTAACGTTTAGAGCGGGTGGGGTGATGTTTAACCACATATTACAAAATAAGCAGAAAAATTGGACTCCCGTTTGAGTGCATTGCGTTTGATTGAGTTGGGATGACGACTCGGATGTTTCAGCAGCTCCTCCAAGGTTGCCCTAACACGCTGCGTCATTGATTGATTTTGTCTGACCCTGTCTTTAAGTTTATTAAATATCATTAAGTCACATTTGTTAAAATATATATAATTAACCCTCAAAGTGTGTTTGGTCCTACAGGGGCGAAGAAAAAAATATGGGGAAAAACAAATTACTGCCCTTATTTTTCACTGTCCCAGGATTGTTTTGAAATTTCAAATGCACCAAAAACAGCAAAGCAAAGGAGCGTTGGTTCATATGACTGGATTGTTATGTACTGTACATGCAAACGTATTGTTTTGTTTTATTAAAGCTGTAACCCCAATTTATTTTTACCCGACTGGTTGCTGTACTTTTATGCAACCTGCGTGTGAGAGACACGAAAACAAAAAGAATTGCGGACGGCACGAGAGACGCGAGAGCGTCGCACGTTTATAAAGCGCGAGTTCGGGGCCCCGCTGGATGCGCGACACTGCAATAAGAGAGGCTGTGATTGCTCGAAGCTGGGCAAATATTCGCGTTCTAAAATTGTTGCACGTTACTTTCGTTTCGGAAAACTTTGACGGGTTTTACAAGACCCTGTTTAACGAAAACCTTGGCACTGACAGCAAGTTTAATGGAACGATAAAACACCACAGTTTTTTTTGCAAATGAATTTATTCACGTATTTATGTGCTACTTTGTTCAAATATGGTGCTTGGTTATGATGGCTTTGGATGATTGCCAGACACAAAAGTGGACATTAAAGTGCCACCTCTGTCTCATTCCTTTGTCGACCTTTCCGTAAAATATTAGTCGCCATTCACCAGAAGTTCTTACAACAGACACTTAACATGCAGATATTCCAGGTACAATGTTGGATATAAGATTTCACAAGAAAGTAATCGTCAGTGCAATTTGTCTTGAGACTAGTAGCCTAGTCCAAAATTGTTCATCTGTCTTTGTCAGACGGATGCCTCTTGCGTTCTTCCTCATCTCTTAATCTCGGACACATCTGGCTTATCTGTGTGTGTTAATTAATCTCGGACACATCTGGCTTATCTGTGTGTGTGTGTGAATTAATCTCGGACACATCTGGCTTATCTGTGTGTGTTAATTAATCTAGCCGGGCATACAATTTTGTTCCACAACATGAGCAGTCGGGCGGTGTGAATCTTGGTGGTTTTTTCTTAAGAAAAACTTCCGAGAGGATTTGGCTTGCAGATGGGATGAAGTCACGTGAGTGGCGGGGGTTGCACAATTAATTGTACTCGCCAAGTTATTATTTTATGCCATGTAATCTTTCCTCAATTGAATGTATTCATTGTAATTTGAAGAGCAAAAAATAAGCCTTAACACAGCTTGAAGTCAAAATGAAGTGTTTTTTTTTTTTAAAACAACCCACGCGCACTGGCGTCTATTGTTTATAGCTGTGATTCAGAGAGCTGGCGCGTGTGGCGTTGGACACTGGGGAGTGTTGCCACCTTTTGTGTCTGCGCGTGAGTTTGAAAGCCAAAGGGAGGAGGAGGAGGTGGGAGGGCCTTTTGTGAGCCCAGCCCGAGCGAGCGTTCAAGAGGGTTGATTGGAGGCGCGCCTTTCACCGGCGGTGCTGCTTTCCATATTCAAAAATCGTGCTTCCGCGCGGTAATGGCTCTTGTGTGCGGAAAGCAGGAGTGTTCTCGTCGCTTTGTCATCCATCGAGTAGACGCGCGAGCCATTGGAACTTTGCAATTCGAGGCTTGTTGCGTCCTTTGTTTAAAACGGCGACAGGAAGGTGCACGTGAAATGTCCCAGGCGTCGATAATAAAGAGGCGTCAGCTTGGCTGTGGTGAACAGGAAAACTTAATTATGCACCCGAGATGGTTAGCTGTTCAATCTCCCGCATCTTACCTTTATTCTTAACCCTTAAGATGTGTCACCAGCTTCAGGGAGTCGGTGGGGATGAATACCACGGTGCCATGTGCGCTGGATGCTGGAGGTAGTTACCAGCGAAACGTCGGGCTGCTCAAATTGTAAATGTGTGGATTTATTCTCCAACACACTGGTGGGCTGAAGTAGTAACTAATTGGCGTTTTGTTTACGTGGCAAATCCCTTACTAATTGTGTGTGTCTGGTGGTGGAGGGTTACGACACATACTTACGCGATGTAACCCAAAAACCTTTATTATGATAAATATTGGTCGCGAAAGCCTACGTGTTAAACTGGAGGTAGTGAATTTATTACACTATGTAACACGATTTTTGCCCCTGGGTAGTAAGTGTTATTTTTTAATTGCGTATGCCTAAAAAGTATAGAAAATGGCTATTATTCCCCACAAACTTTGCATTTGTGACCAGGACCTTATGTGAAGGAATGACACAAATGCACACCACGTTTTCTCATTGAACATAGGTCAATTTTAAAATATTACTGTCCTGGTCACAAAAGCAAAGTTTGTGGGGAACAATAGCCATTTTCTGTATCTTTGAGGCATAAGCAATTAGGAAATAACACTTACTCCCCAAGAACATTTTTTTACAGTGTTATTAATGGAGTGGATTATTAACTTTGCTTTTGTGTCCTGGTCACAAAAGCATAGTTTGTCGGGAATAATAGCCATTGTCTGTACTTTTGAGGCATAAGCAATTAGGAAATAACACTTACTACCCAGGAACACATTTGTTTGTGTTACACTGTTATGGTGGCCACCGAAGTGTTGTACCTCCTACTGGTGTAGAGAGTGGAGTGAGGAGGTCTCCGACCTACATTAGTTGTACACAATGTACAGCCTGCGCTCGTGTGCAGATTTGTTTTTAACAGATACCCCTGGGTCCATCCCGCACCCAAAAAATACTCGGAAACAAGAAGTGGCCGTACATCGCGAGCAGGAAGGACCCTCGTGAAATTAGCGTCTTGAGACTCGGCGCGTTGTACACAACTGTATATAGTTGCAGCATATTTGTACCGTGTCGTGTGTGCATGGCTGGCATTACTCGCTGTTTAAAATGTTAATACATCGTTGACACTGATCCAAAACTTGGAAAGCTGTCGTGCATTAAACTCCCGAGGGACAGCTGTCACGCCGGCCGTGATATGAATAACGTGACATTCTAGAACGAAGGCCCCAAAACAACAATAACGTTTGTTGCACACGCCACTGCATGTACAGCCCCCCCCCCCCCCGCTCCCCCTCGTCTAAAACCATTCCGTACAAAAAAGACCGTAGAGGATGGGACAGTCTAGATGACAGTTTAACTTACTCCAGTCGTTGCGACTCACCTCGGCCCGCCTGTGTATGTTATATTCACCTTCTGTAAAGGCACATTTAGCCGAGGTGCTCGTGCGGTTCAGAGGGCTGAGCTGCCGCTGTTCAGATCCCGTGCTCGAAATCCAGGCAGCCGCATGTTATTAAACGGGGTTTTCAAGTGGAGTGAGATCATTGTCTCAGCCTCGTCACCAATGACTGCACAATAAACGTTCACACTAAACGTGGCTTCGCTCTTCATTTGGATACGTTCCGGTTCTGAGTATTAAGCATATCAGTTTGCCATGTGACGAACATCGCTCTCTCTATCGTCGGTGGCAAAGTACCGCTGCCCCTGAGTGTGTGGATCAATGCCCACTAAAATGTCAGGTGATGGACTCAATGGGAAGTGATGCCATGTAGAACAAATGCAGTTCATGAATACATTACAATGTGGATTTATGGTGCGTTTAAAGGCAACTGCATCTCAGGACGCTGTACAGAAACAGTGATAATATTTATTGTATAGAAGGATGAAATCATATGTAGAGTGATGGAAAAAAAGTATTTGATCCCCTGCTGATTTTGTACGTTTGCCCACTGACAAATAAATTATCAGTCTATAATTTTAATGGTAGGTTTATTTGAACAGTGAGAGACAGAATAACAACACAATCCAGAAAAACGCATGTCAAAAATGTTATAAATTGATTTGCATTTTAATGAGGAAAATAAGTATTTGACCCCCTCTCAATCAGAAAGATTTCTGGCTCCCAAGGTAACGAGCTGAGATTAGGAGCACACTCTTAAAGGGAGTGCTCCTAACCTCAGCTTGTTCCCTGTATAAAAAACACCTGTCCACAGAAGCAATCAATCATATTCCAAACTCTCCACCATGGCCAAGACCAAAGAGCTCTCCAAGGATGTCAGGGACAAGATTGTAGACCTACACATGGCTGGAATGGGCTACAAGACCATTGCCAAGCAGCTTGGTGAGAAGGTGACACCAGTTGGTGCGATTATTCGCAAATGGAAGAAACACAAGAACTGTCAATCTCCCTCGGCCTGTGGCTCCATTCAAGATCTCACCTCGTGGAGTTGCAATGATCATGAGAACGGTGAGGAATCAGCCCAGAACTACACGGGAGGATCTTGTCAATGATCTCAAGGCAGCTGGGACCATAGTCACCAAGAAAACAATTGGTAACACACTACGCCGTGGAGGACTGAAATCCTGCAGCGCCCGCAAGGTCCCCCTGCTCAAGAAAGCACATACATGCCCGTCTGAAGTTTGCCAATGAACATCTGAATGATTCAGAGGACAACTGGGTGAAAGTGTTGTGGTCAGGTGAGACTAAAATGGAGCTCTTTGGCATCAACTCAACTCGCCGTGTTTGGAGGAGAAGGAATGCTGCCTATGACCCCAAGAACACCATCCCCACCGTCAAACATGGAGGTGGAAACATGCTTTGGGGGTGTTTTTCTGCTAAGGGGACAGGACAACTTCACCGCATCAAAGGGACGATGGACGGGGCCATGTACCGTCAAATTTTGGGTGAGAACCTCCTTCCCTCAGCCAGGGCATTGAAAATGGGTCGTGGATGGGTATTCCAGCATGACAATGACCCAATGCACACGGCCAAGGCAACAAAGGAGTGGCTCAAGAAGAAGCACATTAAGGTCCTGGACTGGCCTAGCCAGTCTCCAGACCTTAATCCCATAGACAATCTGTGGAGGGAGCTGAAGGTTCGAGTTGCCAAACGTCAGCCTCGAAACCTTAATGACTTGGAGAAGATCTGCAAAGAAGAGTGGGACAAAATCCCTCCTGAGATGTGTGCAAAGCTGGTGGCCAACTACAAGAAACGTCTGACCTCTGTGATTGCCAACAAGGGTTTTGCCACCAAGTACTAAGTCATGTTTTGCAGAGCGGTCAAATACTTATTTCCCTCATTAAAATGCAAATCAATTTATAAAAATTTTGACATGCGTTTTTCTGGATTTTGTTGTTGTTATTCTGTCTCTCACTGTTAAAATAAACCTACCATTAAAATTATAGACTGATCATTTCTTTATCAGTGGGCAAACGTACAAAATCAGCAGGGGATCAAATACTTGTTTCCCTCACTGTAGAGGGGAAATGGAAGGTCTTGTGCCTGGACTTAAACGGGGGCAGGAAGTCAAAGGGCCGATTTGGATTGACAGCCCTCGTTTTAAAAATCGCATTGGGCCAACAGTGAAACCCCCTATAATGGCTTTTAACACAATGAATTAACTCATTATTCAGTTACACGATCCACATAACTCCTAAAGGCCAGTCAGTTGACCGATGAAAGCAAATGCTGTTATCATTTAAATAAACCAGTTACTCTACGTGAACGTTTACCGAAGCAGCAACTTGATACCTCACATCAGCGTGGGAAGGCAGGGAACTTGAATGTGCGTTTGCGCTTGGAAGTGTGTTTCGCTCCTGCACGCTGGCTCTCTGTTCCTGGAAGCTGGGCCCCCAGGCAGGAATGTTGATGCAAGTGAGACTTGGCGTTTACGTCAGAGGCGACATTAATTCGCAATGATTTGTCAAAGTCTTCATCCCTTTCCAAAATTAAACTGTGCATTTATTTTAGCCATTTTATTTTTTGCATTCGTTAAACGCGTATTGTAAAAACCAGAGCGTGAGACGCGCGTGTCAAATATTTTTGAGAATACTTTTCGTGCAATTCACAGTTGCCTCGTTTTATTTTAGGTTACTAATACATACAGTAATAACACTCGTAGTATTACAAGAGAATAGCTATTTTGTAAACCACTGTTAGACGTAAAGCACAATATTTACATGTATACAACCAAAGCTATGTCTGCATTTCCAATTACACTCAGCAGAAGCCAATAACACAACGATTGCATGGAACTCAGGGTTTGATATATTTAATACGTTCGGACGAGCTTGACTGAGTGACTTGTAAATTCCAATTATCTTTTAGATATGCTCGAGAGATGAATATTGGCACATACAAAATATTTGCTTATAATTTGAAAAAAATTGTAAACCTAATAATTGTTTTATTTGACCCAAAAGAAGTCACAGCCCAGAGATTGATTTTGTATCACTCATTGGGCAGGCTCAGCCAGAAGTTCGATATCGCTTTAAGGGTCACACACAACACAAATCCTGTATACGAGCTCCATCATCAGTGAACCGTGTTACAATTGCAAACCTCCAAACTGTGGTTAAAATCAGGCCAATAATGGGGTTCGACTGGCAGAACATTACATTTTACTCTTATCTGTTAATACATTACAAATCATTAGCAATGCATTACAAAACATGAACAGATAACAGTTATCAGAAATAATACTCATGGGGTGATCACAGGCTTGCGACCCAGTAATGATGATCGGGTAGGTAAGTAGATTAGTGCTAGGTTGAAGAATAATAATCAATAACAAACAAAACATTTAAAATCACAGTCATGAGCACTCCAGTGGTGGCCTCATTACAGAGACTAAAGTAAAACTCAGACCAAGTACGTATGAATGTTGAACTTCGTTTGCACCGTACGTAGCCAACAGTGGTTATCGGAGGTGCGGGAAGACTACAGTAATGACGCGGCAGCGATGCCAATTTTGTCTTGTGTAAGACAGGCCAGGTGCGTTGTGGGTTTTTATTGTAATGTCCTCAATTATAATGTCCTCATTTATAATGTCCTCATTTATAATGTCCTCATTTATAATGTAAAGCAACAAACCCGAGCACAGCCTTCACGGTGCGTTTGGGGCCGATGGCGATGTACAATGGAGGGTTTTTCCCAGGGACCGGCCGTCACGACCCTTGTCACGTTTAACCCGTCATCTTCGCCAAAGCCTGATGATTGTCAAACGCTCTCCACGTGTCGTAGAGAGAGCACACATTTATGTCAAGATACAAGCTCGGCCGCCTTTGTTTCCCGAGTAGCGATGTTTTTACGCAGCGCACTAGGTATTTGAGGCTGAGTCGACCTAGGGAATGCCCAGGATCGGTTCGGATAATCGTCACTGGTGTTGGCCGTGAGCGGGATTCGAACTCGGGTAGCCGAGTTTTGTAGCGCAGCGCAGCGCGCTAACCGCTACACTACCGCTCCCCACATGTACACACACGCACATCCACCTACAATATCTGTAACGTCAAATCGTAACGATGGTTGATATTAAGATAGAAACATTACGTGTGTGTATGCAGATGTTCGTGCCATGTGGCGTGGCCAGGGCTTTTTCAAATTCAGCTGTAAATCGTACGTGTGGTGTGCTGCGTGTGTGTCCCACTTGACGCATCGAGCGCCAATGACGTTGGGAAGTGTTTAGTAAGCATCAGGCGTGTGCAGCGTGTGACGACTTTATGTGTGTGCCTGAACGAAGAACACGTGCAAAGGCGGGTCGCGGTCGGTCAGGAGGAATTGATGAGAGAAGGAATCGGCTCTGTGCACGGATACAGCTTCGTGACGATCGGCCGCGGTTGATTCCATATTCAGATGGGCTGTCCGCTCCGAGCTTGGGAAACCCCGATTTAGATTCACACTCGCAACCACAGCGGTAGATGTGTTGTAAATGTGACCACACATTGGCACAAATAAGCCACGACGGCTATATACAGTATATATAATGCATATGTGGAGACTAATACTGAGCGCAAGTGAGGCACCATGAAAAAAACTATTTTACAAATCCACAGCGCCGCACGTGTATTTATTATTGTTGTTAATTACCCATTGTGATGCGGTGCCACGCACGTGGATGAACGCTCACGCAAAGCCGCATGCAGGGGCCATGCCAGGTAACGCTTGATTGGTGCAATACAAGTGGGCACACACACACAAAGCAGGCAACGTGCAAGCCACACAACGCCGTTCACAATTAATTTCACAAGTGTCTAAATTATTCATTATCTGTTTAAGTGGCATTTACATTGATTCAAGAGCCGAATGGCTCACAGGGCTATACCAAAATAAATAAACTGAAACTGAACATTTGCAACACATTTTTTTATTTGATATATATTAAACACGTCCCAGCTCTCCCTTGCAACATATACTTAATGGGATGTTACACGGTTAAATAGACGGCTGTCTCAATGCATTACTTACTGTGGAACTCCGATGATTATTCATAAATGCACTATCATAATAACTCACTACTGATCTTAGCCATAGCTGGGAATCGAACTCAGATTCTGCCGCGAAAAACGAGGAGAAATACATCATCTAGACCGATGAATTAAATATGAAGTACCGTCCGTTCATGTATGCACTTTACAGAACTTCCAAAGGCAGGTCAGCACCACACCTGAATACTGAACAAAAGAGTGAAAAAGGACGCTGGAAAATCACTGTCAGTGGTGGTAAGGGTCAGTGGGAGGCCCAGTGTTTAGTGGCTAGTTGGCTTAAGTTGTACAGGTAGCATTTTACACAAAGCTCATTGTTCCCACACTGTTTTGGCGCACTCCATTGCAACTCATGGACTTGGCAGTTTTTGTCCACTTTTCACGTCTCTCTCCTCCCATGTAGCTTCAGTAATCAGGGGCACACGAGAGTAAAGAGCAGTCGGCTGTATACGTTACACGGGGATTTAATACATCAACCGTGGTTTGTGCTACATCTTCCGTACCGGGAGTGTCCATACGTATGAAAACTAACTGGTAATAAAACAGGTGTTAAGATGTCCAAACACCAAATAGCTACCCTTTTAAATGGATCAAGCCTGCATTATGTACTTGAAGAAAAAAGGCTTATATGAAACATAAATGAATATGATGATTGCTTGTGTTGCAGTCAAAACGCCGTGAGAATGTTATTGTTTTATATTTTTATCATTTTATTGTTTCCCTTCTACGTGACTTTACCGAAAGAACCAAGAATATGAATCTCTGCAATCACGAAAGCTTTAAATCAAAATATTAGAGGCGTCAATTAATTGGGCGTCACAAGACATCGGGGACACGCTGTAGTTGCTTGCTATGAATGTCATTGAAGCCGGAGCAGTACCCCGCCTCTGAATAAAGAAGTGCGCATTCGCCGACGATTCACCCTTTGAAAATAATCTTACATAATCATCACATGCATTATGTCTCAAGTTCTCTATCCTGTCTCCTTTATCAGCTTCTCTTTCAGCCTACGTGTTACTTGCATTCCTCCTTTACATGCATGGCGCTCAGAGATACATGATTCAAGGACATCTTATACATTATTATTATTATTACAGATGCATTTTCTTATCATGTGGACATGCGAATCACACATTAACACACAAACCACAGACTGACACATTCCAATGTACGTACGTTGAACTTCTTTCGCGCCGTATGTAGCCTACCCTGCGATTCGGAGGTGCGGGGGAAGGACAACACACTAAACACAAAAAGCAGTTGTAAAGAAAAGAGTTTCCGGTTTAGACACTCACGCAAAATCACACACGCAACTCACATGCTAACAGACACGAAGTGCACGCAAATGCAACTCGCGATAACACACAACAACAATCGCCATTCGCCATTAAGCAGCGGTGATGTCACCACAGCGCTTGTGCCAGGCTAAGTGCACTTTAAGGCCACGTGAAGTGTGGAACGCCCGCTGGCAGGAGGTCACAGGACAGACCCAGGTGCCATGGGTTGACTGACTGAGATGACTAGCAGATGCTCCACCTGTGCCCCCTACTATGCCAACTTGCTGCGTTTATCCGCCTGGCGCTCCGCTCGTTGTTGTGAGCGTCGCTCCACTGCCCTCCGCTGTTGTTGTAGGGCGACTGCCTCCAACTGCCCAGTCGCAGCGTCCTTCACGAGCCTCTTCCACAGAGGCCGATCTTGACACCGCTGGTACCAGTCATTAGGAAATCGACGTAAAGACCAAACGCCCACACAACTCGCACGCTAGCACGTCACGCACATTCACCCAACTCACATTCTGATACCAGCGTGTGCGCAATGTGTGTCCCACGTAATGATCGATACCCCACGTGGAACGTGCTAAGCGATCAGTAGCTGCTGAGTTTCCCGTGGAGGATTTTTCCTGGTCGCACGTGACGAGTCGTAGCGACAGCCACAGCGCGAGGTACAATGGACGCGTTGTGCTGGTGTAGAAGTATCGATCACATTGCTCACCAAAGTGATATTACGCCGTGACTTGAGTATGTTATTGAACTGATTACATTGGCAAACAAGAATACCGGAGTGAGACCAGGGTGTGGGAACAAAACGTGAGTTTTGAAAAATGCTGCTGTCTACTTTTTGACAATGGCCCCTCCCCGTAGCAGAGAGATCACATCTCTTATGAAGAAGGCCCATTGCCAAAATGTTGCCTATTATGTATTTGTGTTCCTTTTAGCGCAGTGTTATTGACAAATGTGTTGCATGTTTGCTATTTGTGCAAACGCACCACTGCCAACGCAATTTCACATTTTCTTAAATACAATTTTGTAGGCTAAATGGTGCGATGCTGCCCGGCCTTGCTGATTGACACCTGCGCGGCCACGCAGTCCTGACGAGGTCACGGCCCGTAGGGTCGGGGCTCTCGCAGCCAGGACGGGCGACGAGGGTCCACTCGGGGGACCCGGACCCCGAGTGGACCTGGCAAGAAGACGCTTCCCGTAGCGGCCGATTGGCCGGACACCCCGATCCACATACCAGTTCGGGTCGATGATCTTGGAGCCTGCATCCCACACACGGCTCGTGGTCACCACATGTTACCCATGGACATCATGCCATCTCTCCATTGTGAAATCTCCAATATCGTCTCTCCCATGCCTTCTGTTCCCATGACCTCTGCAACTTTCCTCTGCGCCGTGCCCTCTGTACCATATCCTCTGTCCGAGGCCCTTTGACTCATGTTCTCAGTATCATGCCTTGTGTCTTATATCCACGGCACCGTGTTCTTCCTCCCATGCCATCTGTCCCATGCCCTATGTCCCATACGTCCTCTCTCCAATGTCTCGTGCTCTCTCTCCCGTGCCCTCCTCTCTCTCTCCTATGTCCTCTGTCCCATGTTATCCATCCTATGCCCTCTGACCTTGCACGTAGGAGCAGCAGGCCACGTGTGCAGTCGTGTGTGAATCTCTGTGCGCCGTGGGCTGGCGCAGGGGCTGGGCCCAGGTGCCCGTGAGTCCGCCCGCCCACAGCAGCAGCAGGAGCAGCAGGCCCAGGGCGAACCGCCACGAGCAGATCCGGCTTGGGCCCTCGAGAGCCGGGCCTCCACTGTGGAGCACGGTGCAGCACCCGTGCATTTGTCATCGTCGTAGTCATCATCATCATGGACATAATCATCATTATGAGCACGAGAAGAAGCACTGCTACTCGTACCACCACCATCATGACCATTGTAATCACATAGTTATAATACTATTATTAATCATCATGGCCTTCACCATATTTTTTTTATTGAAGCAGCAGCAGCAGCATCGTTACAAACATGATCGTAAAATTTTTGCAGCATATTTACCGCCACTAACACACGTGCAGCAACATGGTCACCATCGTTAGTTAAAATATTAAGAGAGTATGTGATTTTATTCTATAATGATATTTGATCACACGTAAATGTATAAAATTGTAATCCAAATACATGTAAATGTAATGCAATGCTCACGCTAGATGAGCATTACAGGCGTGCAAGTTACGTATGATTAATTATTGGTGTGTGAGGTTAGGAAGGGTTGGTAGATCACATGCCCACTTGTGATATTCCCAACGCTGATGGCGTGCTAAGAGCTCGGAGTAGAGCGAGCAATGTACGGGTCCATAATGGAAGTTTTTTTGGGTTAGATCGCGTAAAATATATAAATGTGTCGTTAAACCCGCCACCACCCGACACAGCCAACTAGTAATTACTGCTGGATGAAGCTAGTTGTAATTATTGGCGAAACGTCGTACTCAGATTGTAAATGGTGTGGGTTTACTCTCCAACACACCGGTGTGCTGTACTAGTGACTAATTGGCACGTTCTGTTTACGTGATAACCTTTACTATTTGGATTTGTCGGGTGGTGGCGGGTTTTAACGACACATTTATATATTTACGCGATCGAACCCAAAAAAACCCTCTATTATGGATAATATAGGTCGCGAAATCCTGCTACGTGTTAACCTCGCTGTACAGGTATTGAACCTATCCGTGCAGACCAGCTTTGTGTGTTTTTCTACCGGTTACTCGGTCTCCTCACAAAATGCAATGGAATAATTTGAATTAGATTAAACTTTAATTAAACTTTACCAAACAATCCCCAATGCAAGACTTGCTTGAACAAAACTATTCGACTCGGGTGTTTTTTTGGGGTAAATAATTCACGTAAATAATTATGATTCAAATATCTGGTCACTCATTCTATACCCTGATTCACTTGATTATTTTCTGGATAAATAAAGCGCATTATTACTATTTAAAGCTTTCGTGACTGCAAGGATTAATCTTCTTTGGTTCTTTCGGTAAAGTCACGTAGAATGAGAATAAAATAATAAATTGATAAAATAAAATAACACAATAATATTCTCACGACGTTTCGGCCACAACACAAGCGGCCTTCATCAGGTGAAGGGACGAGACTGTCTGATGAAGGCCGCTTGTGTTGTGGCCGAAACGTCGTGAGAATATTATTGTGTTATTTTATTTTATCAATGTATTATTTTATTCTCATTCTACGTGACTTTACCGAAAGAACCAAAGAAGATGGATTATTACTCTTTGGTTCTTTCGGTAAAGTCACGTAGTTAGAAATAAAATAAAACAAATCACGTGACGTTTTGATCGCAACACAAGCAATCGTCATCAGGTGGGACAACCACAGCAAGAAACAGCCGCTGAAGAAGCCTGATGATGACGATCGCTTGTGTTGCGATCGAAACGTCGTTATTTATTTGATTTTATTTCTACCTACGTGACTTTACCGAAAGAACCAAAGAGTATGGATTCCTGCAGTCACGAAAGCTTCAAATCAAAATTGCATTATTATTATTTATAAGGCACGTTACACTGCATTACAATACCTTTCCGAGCCTGGCACTGGAACTTTATAATCTCTCCGTATTATTACTGCATCATCAGCATTTACTGCAGGAATATTAAAGTCGCCAGCTTCCTGAGATGCGATCGCATTCAGATGCTAAAATATATACTATACAGGGTGGTGCAGATGACTTGTGACCCGCAATTAATTGACCACAAACATTTTTTTTCCCTTTGCATATTTTTTTAATATAAACCTTACTTGAAACTGAACGGGAGTCGCAAGACACCCTGTACATGCACGTGGCATTGGACGTTTCGTCTCACCTGTTGGCCGTGAACTTCATGCTGGGTCCCACACGCGTTGGTGTCGACTTGCACTACAACAACGGTACCCTTACTGTATCCGTACTCCCAGTCTTGCTGCCTCGCGTGAATGACAGATACGATGATGTGTGTGTGTGAACGTACCTCGCTCTCTGCCACTGCTCTTCTACACGCTCCGAGTGGACGAACTGCCTGCATCTCGGCTTTATAGAGCCACGCAAGTGGCTCTTTAACACAACGCGTCTCCCTTTTAGCAGGAAGGGACATCTTTTTGAGATTCCCCACCCCCTTTGCTTTTCGGCATTTTGACTATCCCTTTTGTGGGCAACGAAAGAGGAAACAAGCCCAGCCCTCCTCTGCCCCTATTGATCATACCGACGTCTAAGTATTGATCATACCGACGTCTCAGTATTGATCATACCGACGTCTCAGTATTGATCATACCGGCGTCTCAGTATTGATCATACCGACGTCTCAGTATTGATCATACCGACGTCTCAGTATTGATCATACCGACGTCTCAGTATTGATCATACCGACGTCTCAGTATTGATCATACCGGCGTCTCAGTATTGATCATACCGACGTCTCAGTATTGATCATACCGACGTCTCAGTATTGATCATACCGACGTCTCAGTATTGATCATACCGACGTCTCAGTATTGATCATACCGGCGTCTCAGTATTGATCATACCGACGTCTCAGTATTGATCATACCGGCGTCTCAGTATTGATCATACCGACGTCTCAGTATTGATCATACCGACGTTTCAGTATTGATCATTCCGACGTCTCAGTATTGATCACACCGACGTCTCAGTATTGATCATACCGGCGTCTCAGTATTGATCATACCGGCGTCTCAGTATTGATCATACCGGCGTCTCAGTATTGATCATACCGGCGTCTCTGTATTGATCATACCGGCGTCTCAGTATTGATCATACCGACGTCTCAGTATTGATCATACCGACGTCTCAGTTAAGTCCGTGGGCTTTCTAGTGGCACTCGAAGCCGCCTCTTGAGCCACGAGAAAGCACTCATCGACATCCTCTCTCTTCGCGTACCGCCACGAGTGACTCCGAAAGCGCCGGCATCCTTTCACGGAGGACAAATGATGTCTCCACGTTTCTACACAGCGTTCCCATCGTGATGATGTCCGTCACCACCATCATCATCTGCCATGATCTATCAACTGCTCGATGGAGGTCTTCCCAAGCTGTCGCGATCTCCCCACATAGACCTATGATGTAACAATCCATCCCCGACGTGTTTCCTCGAGCTGTGATGTTGAAATTCTTTCGCACCATACGTTGCTACCCGTGCTAATCGTAGGCGCGTATTTGTGTATATATCTATGTGTGTATCTGTGTGTGTGTATATATGTGTATATCTCTGTATGTGTATATATGTGTGTATCTCTGTGTGTGTGTATAAATGTGTGCATCTCTGTGTGTGTATATGTGTGTATCTGTGTGTGTATATATGTGTGTATCTCTGTGTGTATATATGTGTGTATCTGTGTGTGTATATACGTGTATATCTGTGTGTGTATATACGTGTGTATCTGTGTGTGTATATATGTGTGTATCTGTGTGTGTGTGTATAAGCAACCCCCTACCACCTCCTCGTTGGTGCTGGACGGTAACATTGTGGTGAGCAGTGCCATGGGGAGAGGACCCATTTCGATTGGCCATTCCCCTCATGGCGTTTGTGGCTACCACAGCGGCCAAAGGGGGCTCTGGTCGGGTGCGAAAACGATGCTTGTGCCGGAGGACCCGGGGGGACAGGCGTCGATGACGTCTCCTGGCCAAACCGCATTTTGGCGGAGCCAGGAGACTGAATCCTTACCCTCGGGGCTCCTCCAGAAACAGCAAACCAGTACTGCCTGGATCACTGTGGAATTCAGGAGGTCCGGTGGACCGGCTCTGGCTCCTGCCACCATGAGGGGTGGACAGTGCTCTACTCGGGGCAGGAGACTACCAAACAACAGGGAGTCGCATCTTCTTCTGAACAAAAGAATGAAGGGGGCGTGGGAGCGTGGCGGTGAGGTGTGGGAAGCTGTAAGCCCCAGGCTACTTTGGGCTCGCCTTTCCATCAACCAGAGGTGAGGAGTGGTGGTCGTGGTTACTTATGCCCCCACCAAAGATAAATATCAGTGGAGGGATGCAGGCAAGGCCGATGAGTCAGATGCCTTTTATGACTTGCTATCACAGTTGCTAGCTCAAGTGGCCCCTCGGGATAGAGTCATCCTGTTGGGTTACTTTGATACCCGAGTTGGCCATGATGCTGGCACCTGGTCTGGAGTGATTGGAAGGCATGGGCCAGATCAGCTGAATAACAACGGTAGGAGGCTGCTAGACTTTGTGCAGCACATAGGCTTGTAATTACCAACACGCTGTTCCGGCATCGGCGCATCCACACAACATCATGGATGCATGCCGGGTCCAATCAAGAACATCTGCTGGACTACATAGTGAGGGAACAGCGGATGAGGGCCCATGTCCTCGACACCAGGACCTACCGTGGAGCTGATCTGCCCACTGACCATCGACTTGTCATCTGTAAGATGCACTTGCCATTCTTCCACTCCGGTGGTGGCTGTTCACCAGAGACGTGCGGTCAGGGGAAGCAGAGCCTCACCTGTTATACTCCAATGAAAATAGCTGTTTACGAAAAGTAAAAAAGTAATCAAACAAAAATTAAGATTTTTCCGCTGATCTGTTTTATGTCATTTCTGTATGATTCCAATCATTTTTTTATCGTCAAAATCGCCAAATTTGCGGAGCTCCGCTGCAAATGCAGGGAGAGGTGAGGCAGCGACGAGCTCAGCCTCCCCTCTGATTGCGCAACACCTCAGGAACTGGATGGAGCGCGGGCAATAAGCGCGTGCCTGTTACTATCTCTCTGTAATGATTGGAATCATACAGAAATGACATTTATAACACAGATCAGTGCAAAAAAAAATTCTCAAAATTTATTATTTTATTATTATTACTTTTCATAACAGCTATTTTCACTGGAGTATTACAGGTGAGGCCTCCCTCCCCTGCCTCCCCTGACCACACGTCCCTGGTGTACACCCAGGACCCCATTCAAACCCATAGTGGCCTAGTCTCAGACCGCTGATGAAAGTTGCAAGCAGTTGCAGTTGGAGTTGGCATCGTCCCCCACTCCTCCTGATGTCGACGGGAAATGGCCGAGCTTTAGGACTGTGGCTCATGCAGCTGCAATGGCTGCCTTTGGTATACGGTCCAGACTTCCCCAGAGACCCTGACTGACAGAGGAGGTGTTCAGGCTGGTTGAGAAAAAAGCGACAGGCCCACTGTCATCGTCTACAGCATCCCACGTCAGAGAAGGAGGCGGCTTACAGCAGCCTTCGCTCGGAGGTTCGGAGAGCCGTGAGGCGCTGCAAGGATGCGGGTTGCTGAGGAGATCGAATCTGCCTCAGTGGCCCTCGATCACAAATCTGTTCTGGCACTGCCGACAGTTGTATTTGGGAGTATTTAATATTTATTTGGTGTTCTTTTAGTATCATGCTGATCATTCGTCCTATCTGACCAGCATAGCATTTACCAGAAGAGCAATTCATCTGGTACACGCCTTCTCTTGATAGCTTCGGCAATCCATCATTAGTACCAGATGTTAGTTTTGTATTTTATGCACCGTGCCAAATCTCACTCGGGTGTTTTGTTTTTCAAAAAATCTGTCAAGTTTATCAGTTACTCCCGCAATGTACGGTATACGTACACCTACGACGGGTTACACTCAAAGCTTATTCAATCCACACACAAACAGAAGCCACTGAATCCATCTGTAGACTCAATCCAAGGCTGTGCTGTCATCTTCTGGCCACCCTACAGCCCCACGCCTACAGCACTCGGTGTGTGCTGGGGTCACCCGTCAAAGTACGAACCATGTTCAAACATGCTTGACTTGTGAAATTTTACACGATTTCATGCAATTATGGTCATGTCATAAAAGGCGTAATTACAGCTTAGATCTTATTATGAGCAGTAGTGGTGATTATGGGTAGAAAATAAACAGGACAGGGTATTTATTACCATGCAGACATTGAAATAAAGTAACATTTTAGTCCAGCATATGGGCCATCTTGGCCAATATTTTATAGCAGCATTTGTTTACGCGAGACAACTTTGTACCATGCAGCTCTGAATCTATGAGGCTCGTCAGTAAGGTCGGGCCGTTTATTTTATCATAGTTATGTAGTTGTTTACAGAAACCCCCCACCCCCCACCCCCCCCCCCCGAACAAAAAAAACATTTTATAGAGGCTCTCTGAAGCTCTTTCGAGGGGAGACCCTTCCGCCAGCAGTGTCGTGAACAAGACATGGCAGCGCTGCGCCTTTACATTATCCAGGGGAATCGCCCCCCACCCTGTGTGCAGCCGCTGCCCCTTGCTTTACGGCTGAGAGGATGGACACCACTTGCGCACACACGACATCGACTCTCCACTCCACAGAATGTCCCCCGTCCGAAGCCGTGCGCCAAACACCTGGCCTCGTTGGGAAGCCCAGCGGCTGTGCCCGTGATCCTCATTGTGCACGCGCGGTGGCCAGCACGGCAGCCCCAATTGTCCAGTGGCAGTGGTGCTTTTAATTACCAGATGTGTAATTATCAGGAGCGATGTGTGTGTGTGTGTGTGCGTGCCCCGTCAACCGCATCATTGGGCTTGCGCCCTTAAGCATCTGCTGAAAATTTCTACAAAATTAAAAAAAATATTGTCTTATTAGCGACAAAGTAAAAAAAAATACATTCTAGTTAAATGAAAGTTGTGGAACCTCAATCCAGGATTGAGGTCAGCATTGTGTAAGTAAAGCGAGTAAGCTGGTCGAATGGCTTTGATGCATGTTGTCTCTGCTCCAACATCCGGTTGAGTGAATCTTCTTCGAGTCATCATCAGCAGCCATGGTCAATCCACTGCTGGAGGAAGACCTCCCCAAATTGGCTTTGCCTCTCACGATGCTGCGATGTAATAATCCACAGCCACGGCACTTGAACACAGACTGGTTTCAGTTTACGTGCCGAACGACATTTTACGTGATGATGATGATTTTTATATTAATTTTGGTGTTATTTTTTGTTATTTTCTTTGAACTTATCTACGTGCCTTTTCCCGAAAGACCAATAGAATATGAATTGCTGCAGTCGCAAAAGCTTTGAGTCAAGATTTTGGTGGAGTCTTCGGTGAATGGGCTGAGACCATCAACTCCTTGTGCTTGAGAGAAATTGTAATTCACAGGGCAGCTGCTTCGATTCGTGCCCAAAATCTCAGCAGTGCCAGCTCAGCACTCAGTCACCACCCAGCCACCTCAGGGAAAGGGACAAACTAAAACTTAACAATGCGTTTGTTCCTTGTCGTCACCGCTGACTGCCTTAGACCACAATTAACTTCGCTTCAGAGACCAGTTTAATTGTAGGTTGCTGTAATCCATATTTTAACCCAGTATCTATTAGGGGTGCTGTGCTGTTAATGATACAAACCCGTAATTTGATTTCCTGAAGGACAAAGCAATAAGATGGGAACGGAGATGAGAAGTCCCCTGATTTTGAGAGAGACCAGGCTCAAGTGACTAAATATATCCTAACAACACAGGTAGAGATGGGCAGTAACTGCATTGCAAACTACATATTTAAAGTATGTAATTTAAATGTGTAACTGCATTACATATGTAATGTATGTAATCCTAATTGCACACCTCAGAGTACACTTCCTCCTATAATTTGCATGTATTATCGCAGGTTAGAGTGTAACAAACGTGGAATTCAACATCATCATACAATAAACGTCATGTTCAATTCTTCATCATCATCATTATCGCCAGCCGTGATCAATGCACTGCTGGACGAAGGCCTCCCAAACCGGTCGCCATCCCTCACAGTCCGCGACAATCCATCTCGCAGAGTGCACACGCGATTATTTCATCGCTCCATCTCCCTCCGGCGAACGCGCCCTCTGTCTCGGGCACGTTCCCTTCCTTCGGCCGATGCGTCGGTTTCGTTGACGTAACGCAAAAACGTTTCCGCAGCTCGCGATGGTTCCCGACCGTGGCCCGGGTAACCTTGGGCCGCCGTGGGGACCCTTTCCAACTCAATTAGCCACGCTACGTCTGCTCGCGAAGCGTCGATAATGAGAGCACTGGCGAAACAGCTCGCACCCTAGCCATGTCCCATCGACTGTCCGTGTCTCTTAGCGGCTTCAAATATCCCGCGGGAAAGTTACCGCGAAGGGCACATCGATTAAAACAACAACAAATAACATGTTTTGCGAACTTTATTTTATTTTGAGTGACAGATTCAGACAGAAATCGGTAGGGAACCTTTGCCGAACTGTATTCAAGCATAACTTAAAAGAGGTGTCTCACCAATTGGCTGTCGTGAGGTTACTTTTCACGCCGTCTCACGTTCCCTGTGGAGTTGTAAGCATCGTGTTTGCTCTGAGCTATGTGCGCATGTAACTCTTTCTGCTCTGCACTGATACCATCTCCATTGTAATCATTTATAACCCTCGTTTACCCAGGAATGCCCTGGGTAAAAGAAAGCCTGTGAAAGCTTCACTCAACCTCGTGACTCTTTTTCAGGAGCGTCCTGCCAAGTTTTCGCAGGAGGGGGGAGATTATTGTTCGAGACAATAACTGTATCATCACAATTTAATATTTTTTTCCGTATTGTTTTTTTCTAATTAGACCTTCTAAATGTCTTCCTTGTCTTTTCCCAGCACAAACCATGTAATTATCAGTTTAACACGTGGGCTTTCGCGACCAATATCATCCATAAGAGGTTTTTCTATAGGTTAGATCGCGTAAAGATATAATTGTGTCGAAGTGTGGTCACCACATCCACGCCTCTATATAAGGAACAAAACAGGTAGACTTCTCCCCAAATCTGGCTGTCGCCTGATGAAGCTGGTTGTAATTACTGGCGAAACGTCGTACTCAGATTGTAAATGTTGTGGCTTGGCTCTCCAACACACCGGTGTGCTGTACTAGTGACGAATTGGCCACGTTCTATTTACGTGACAACCCTTACCAGTTGGCTGTGTCGGGTGGTGGTGGGTGTTAACGACACATTTATATATTTACGTGATCTTACAAAAAAACTATTTTAAGCATGTAATTATCGCCTCGATTACCTTCTCTAGAATATTAATAACCCCCGCCAAAGCTCTAATTTATTAATTCTACTTAATTTCCCCTCGAGACGTGGGTTTGGGGACTAAGGGGTATGCGACAGTGACCCACCCCAAAGATGTGGTACACACATGACAATTGTGTGTTGCTGCGTCTCAATAAGCAGCCTTCACTGCTTTCCTGCATGGCTTCAACATCCTTCCCAGAACGCTGATACAGGGCAGACCCAGTCACTGGGAATGTAGTGGTGATTGCCTTCTTCAGACGAGGTCACAGGAGGACACCAAGACCCGGGCATCATTAATGGAGCGGTGCTGCGTGATTGACAGGAGTTTGTGGGATAGCCCAGGTGTCACGGTTCCCCACTCTGTGTTTTAGCCGCTACATCCCATTCACCCCCTTGTCGTTGACACACACGCACACAAACACATTCGTTTTAGAAATCAAATTTTCGATCAATTACGCTCGCTATACATACCGAGGCAGCCGAACCTTGCCCGCGGGTAAAGCAGCTTTGGATCATCTATATAACCTCCGTGCAGTGTTGCCCAGGCCCGTGTACCCTCCGTGCCCCAAAGTGTAACAACCGCGCCAGCCCTTCGTGTCTGCACCGAAGAGCTTGGAGAGAAATCTTGACCCGCTACGCGTCGCTCTCCCATCTTTAGCCACAGGTGAGTGTCTCCGCCCGGCACCCCTCGTCACTGAGAAACTATAACGAAACTTGACATGGAGGCTTTCGCGGCCGATTTTTGGGGTTAAATCGCGTAAGTATAAATGTGTCGTAACCCTCCACCACCAGACAGAAAATTAGTAAGGGATTTGTCACGTAAACTGTTGGAGAGCAAATGTTGTGTGGATTTACTCTCCAACACACCGGTGGGCTGAAGTAGTAACTAATTGGCGCGTTATGTTTCCGCGACAAATCCCTTACTGATTGGCTCTGTCGGATGGTGCAGGGTTATGACACATTTATACTTACACGATCTAACCCAAAAACCTTTGTTATGAATAAAACGAAACTACATATTTTTTCATTTCGCCATGTAAGGCCCAGTGAGGTGAATAGCTCTTTTTCAGAAGCGATCTGGCCACAAATGGTAGCTCACGTGGAAATCTTCAGTAGCCAACTACTCTAAAGGCGTGATGTTGATTCTAAATGTGGAGGTGAAAACCGGAGGACTCGGAGAAAAATCCATGCGACCACGAAGAGAACATGCAAACTCCAAATACACAGCAGGCATTAGGGTCGGGATCGAACCCACGGCCTCCTGTATACCAGGCGAGGTAGTTAATAACTCATAGCCACCGTGATGATGAGAGAGAGAGATGCAAACTCCAAATATACAGCAGGCATTAGGGTCGGGATCGAACTCACGGCCTCCTGTATACCAGGCGAGGTAGTTAACAACTCATAGCCACCGTGATGATGATGAGAGAGAGATGCAAACTCCAAATACACAGCAGGCATTAGGGTCGGGATCGAACCCACGGCCTCCTGTATACCAGGCGAGGTAGTTAACAACTCATAGCCACCCGTAGCGCCCCGGCTTCCTCACACCGTCGCCATCCCTCGCGGTTCCGCTGCTACTCCCTCATCGAGCTGACATCGCCGCTCCATCTCTGCAGGTGGTCGTTCTCAAGGGCGTGCGTGTTCCCATCCTTCAGCCGTCATTCCATCACCAGTCTTGTCCATCAGCCACGCATTGGGTGACGCCGGGAGGAAGAGCTTATCGCGCGGATGGGGTTCGTGGTTCGGTGCCATCCATTGAGTCCGTACGCATGGAGGGGGGGGGGGGGTGACCCCAAATGCGTTCGCTTGCGTATGGGGGGTTTACTGACAATGTTCGTACGCATAGGAAATGCGGTGGGGGGGGTGAAGCCTCGATAATAATTTGTCTACATTGGCCTTCAAATGAGTTAGATAGTCCGGTGGTGGACTATCTGAAACACGTTAATAGTATTAATCCTTGATCGTTTCTGCGTGGATTAAATATCGGCCGTTCTATAGGATTCGGGGGGGGGGTGGTAAAATTCCGCGTGCGTACAGGGAGGGGGGGGGGTCAGGTGTTGACAGATTGCTGCGTGCCGACTCAATGGATGGCCCTTTAGTAACGCGGGCAGCCGGCAAGACGCAGCAAGCGATTACACTGCGTACGGCCCTTGTCGTCTTGAGTTGCTTCGTTCATTGTTGTTCAAGAGATTGAGATTGATGAAGCAATGTATTTTGGATGCATAGTTATCGATGTGACGGGCTAACGCTGGAGAGACTTGCCAATGTTCGGTAAAGTGAATCATAAAAGGAACGGCGAGATGAAAGGAGCGTTTAGCTGTGTCAGCAAAGCCCCAAAATCATCGCCAAGGCCACAGCTGCTGAGGAATGAGCAGAACGAGAAAGAGAGAGATAGATTCCTCACTACTGTACTTGCAGTGGAGAGGGCTCGAGCCGAGCCACGCTTTCCTGGAACGTTTCTGGGCCAAGATTTACATCTTGGCGAAATGTTCCAACTACAGGCACCATTTTGGTAATTGGCTCCATTCTTGGCGATGAAAACATTGGCACGGTTATATATATGTGCCTTTTTTTAATTGGATGAAAAGGATTATTCGACAAAACGTGAATCAGACGTCTTTGTCTCTCGTGTGGCCACACATCCGTGGGCAGATTCGGCTGGTGCAGGCACGGTCTAGAGAGACGGCTGCCCCTGTGTCGAGCTAAGGCCCCTGATAATTTGGTGGCAAATGGCAATAGTGTGATTTTTTTTGGTATGTAATGTACGCACGTACACCCGGCAAAAAAAAAAAAAACCCACTCGTTTTGAGATAAAAAAATAAAGTAGTCGGGGAGCACCGCCTCACTGCCGTCTGCGAGTCGCAAAGCGATTCGATGTTGAGCAAATGCAGAGAGTGCTGCAACAGCGCGGCGTGTCCGGACAAGGTGAAGAGGGAGCGGGGTTTGTAATCCACCTTCATCATCACTTGCGGTAAGCAGAGGGCACCTGCAAGTCGTTGGCACAGAAGTAAAACAACAGCAACTGCAGTGCTCCACATACAGTAGACAACGCCGATCAGTGGCGGCACAGTGGATAGCACACTGCTCTAAGAATCCGGCTACCTGAGTTGGATTCCGGGCCAGGGTTAGCATCAGCAGTGAGTGATATCCGAACCGGTCCGAGGCACCTCCACCACCCCCGCGGTCTCCCCACGTCACCAACTCGCACTGATGGTGAAGTATGGTCAAAATCACCCGCACGGCATGGCGGAGGCCCTCATCCACCAATGGATTGACGAAGGGCTATAAGTAACATAATAACTAATTGTATTATTATACATAGTGGTAGATTTTGATGTGGTGGGAGTGTTTGCTGTGCGTGCAGTGTGTGTCGGGGGGGGGTGTGCTGGGCGGACGTGGGACGCGGAGTGGAATTGCCATGGGGAGTCACTCCGCGGGGAGCAGCTCGCGATGGGGTTTACTCAGAGGCGAACAGCCCTCTCGCTGATCATTCTCCGGGTCGCTGGTAGACTTCAGTGAGGTGGCACGCGACTAAGAACCCACATCAAGGGGCGGCATACTGGATGGATGCTTTGTGTGCATGCCGGACTCAATTTCTCGCCGGATCTTTTCCATCTCGCTGGTAGATAAGAATCTGAATATTGATGTATTTATACTGGAGGGACCCGGTGAGTTATCACGGTCATTTTCACAGATGCCCATTAAGGAGCAGGCACAAGGCTTGTAAGGCAATAAGGAGCAGGCACAAGGCTTGTAAGGCAATAAGGAGCAGGCACAAGGCTTGTAAGGCAATAAGGAGCAGGCACAAGGCTTGTAAGGCAATACGGAGTAAGCCTTGTGCCTGGATGTTGTGTGTTGGGTGTGGAAATATTATCCAGGTCGCTGGTACACCGGAGCCAGATAGCCCGTGACTAAGTAGCCACAGCCATAGCGAGGGGATGTATACTGGATGTGGTGTACCGGGTGTGGGTTATGATCAACGTATTATCATTATTATCTGGGACATACCCGGCCTAAATGAAGCGCAGCTTTTACTCTTCTCCCCGCGACTGTCTCCTCCTCCTCTCCCCTCCTCCTCCTCTCCCCTCCTCTCCCCTCCTCCTCCTCCTCTCCCCTCCTCCTCCTCTCCCCTCCTCCTCCTCCTCTCCCCTCCTCCTCCTCTCCCCTCCTCCTTCTCCTCCTCTCCCCTCCTCCTCCTCTCCCCTCCTCCTCCTCTCCCCTCCTCCTCCTCCTCTCCCCTCCTCCTCCTCCTCTCCCCTCCTCCTCCTCTCCCCTCCTCCTCCTCCTCTCCCCTCCTCCTCCTCTCCCCTCCTCCTCCTCTCCCCTCCTCCTCTCCCCTCCTCCTCCTCTCCCCTCCTCCTCCTCTCCCCTCCTCCTCCTCTCCCCGGGGTGAGGACCGCGGAAGGCGGCAGCTGCCCGGGCGCCGGCGCCTCTCGGCCGTCCGCGCTCGCCACTGCCCCGCGCCGAGGCGAGCGAGACGCGGCCGAGCGTGAGCGCAGCGGGAGAGGCCTCGGTGGAGGTCAACCCCCATCCCACCCCCAGATTCTCTGGCCCGTGCTGTGCGGTGGGCTAAAGTGTTTTTACTCCGTGAGGGGGTTGATGGATCACGGAGAGACGGAGCATTGACGTAGCGTTCTTAGCATGGGTCCTGGTATATATATAAAAAAAATTGTCCCACTTTGTGGGGAAGTCAGCAGTGATTGTACTATGGGTATACTCGTCCCCGTCATATGAATGTGGAATTTACCCCCACTGGAGCAGGGCTATGAACAGAAGGTGACCCTGGTTTGATGTCGATTTGAGCACGAAAAATACGTGACTTTGGCATCTTAAAGATAAAGGCGCAGCACTGCAATTGAACACTCGCGCCACTGCTGGCCTGAGGGCTTCCACTAGAGGGAGCTCTGGAGAGCCCCTGTGGAGGGTTTTCGGCCTACTCTTCTATACTGGCTAGACATCTTAGAAGACGTGGGAGTGTACACACTTCACCCTCACTACTAGCGGGTTGCCGATCAACTGACTCCCTTGTAAACATGCAACGTTGGGGTAACGTTGGGCTAACGTTGGTTGACCCTGGCCCAGCGTTGGTCCAATGGTAACCAGAATTTGCCCGTTTACTGAGCTGTGGCGATCCCGTTTATATTGCTTGGCGGCGGGTTTAAGAAGCTGGCCTTTGTGTTTCACTGCCGTGCCGGGAGATCAAACCGGCAATCTCTGCATTGCAAGTCCAGTGTGCCAACCACTACATCACGACAGTGTCCTCTGAGCTCTGGGGCAAGGGTGGCTTGGACCACACTGTCCCCTCTCGGTCGCCCGGTGCCTGGTCCACTCTGGCACGCGGATCCCGCGATGCAATTGCACCGCACACTCGCTAGTGACATCACGGAGATGTAGGGGCATCCGTTGGGGGGAGGGGGGGGCAGAGCGGCGAGTGGGTATCTGATTGGGCTACGTGTGCGTTGACATTTGAAGCGTCCCCTTTATACGTGTGGGTCTTCTTCAGGCACTCTTGTCCCCTTCTCACTTGCGAAAAAAAATAACAGACCACAAAATGCCAAACATGTCAAGGCAGGATTCTTCTAAATATGAGACTTGAGACTCGCTGGCCTTCGCTTTTATGAAACAGAAGACATTGTGCATTTTATTCCGTTTGGACATTTTTGTTCGTCGTTTTATTATTAATTACGGTGCTTATGTTCGATTACACACTCATGAAACATCGCAAAGCTGGTGTTTGATAATAATAGCAGTCTAAACGTTTCAGGGGGACGTATATTAAGGATTGTGAAGCACAGACCCAAAAGTCCAGAATGCCAATGCGACCGGCAACAAACTACGCCATTGAGGGTGCAATAGATGAACATGAATACAGATTTGTCGCGAGGGTGTCTAAGAACATGGCAAAGTAGACAACGGGAGGGAATATAAAAGTCAAGCAGTGCGATTAAAAAGAAGTGTCTTGACTGCCGAGCAGCAGGATTACACGAGGCAGCCTCCGTGGCTGATGGTGATGCTGGTGATGTTGTCGTGGTGTCACGATGGCTCGACTCTCAGGACGAACACCGTGGGAACGTGACTGTCCGTGATCGTTTAGCCACCCGATCGTTAGACGAGCCAGCCCTGGTGGCCTGTTAAATGCAGAATTTAGAGTTGGGGTGTGGGTCACTCAAGCGATGAAAAAGTTACCACAAATTGGTTTCAGGATTGTGTTGAATAAACTCACATTTAAATTTGTCTTCATTGTAATGACTTATAATACCCCTGCATACGTATGGATATTTCGAATTGCATTTCTCCAGTAATTCTGATGTTAAACTAAGCGATATAGTGATGTTATACATGACTAGATGTCAATCGCGATAAAGCCAACGCGTTCATCTTACTCTTAAATAATTTTATACTGCGCACAAAACCGGGGTCGGGACAGATTTCGCGACTTCTCGATCGCCGATTTGTCGTAACAAAATCCGTGAAGTGCCCTCTCTGTGCGCTCAAATTGGAGCTGATTTTGTACAAGTAAAAATCATTTTCGCCGTAAATGATCGTACGTATGCCCGCTAAAGTTCGCATAGCATGGCCGAGGAGCATGTGATACAGCTGTGACATTTCCAAAGGGACAAACTGCAAAAGTAAAAATCAACCCAATCGCCGAATCTAGTGAAATCACAAGCCACGCCAGCAAGGATGGAGAGCTATGAGATGCAAGAAATTAATTGTCGTAACTCTGGTTCATATCGCGCATCATTCTCACTCGATAAATATGCTATGTCCAGACGAGTTGTCGAGTCTGCTTAACTCCCTCTGCAGTCAGCTGTGTCCTGGGATCAGCTTTGAGTCAACTTGACTTCACCAAGACATTATAGATTTGAAACTTTCGTGACTGCAAGGATTCATACTCCTTGGTTTTATCGGTAAAGTCACGTAGGTAAAAAAAAAATCAATAAAATAAATGCAAACAACTAAATTAAATCACGTCGTCATTTATTTGATTTGATTTATTTTTTACCTACGTGACTTTACCGAAAAAAAAAACCAAGGAGTATTCACCACGACAGGCAAGTTCCTCCTCCCTCCCTGGGGACCCGACCACTTCGTCCCGGTGTGTTTGACCTGCGATCGGACCAGTTTCGTTTCTGGAGGGGTGAAGCGTATGGGTCAAGTTGGGCTCTGCCTGAATAACAAATTGTGGAGATGCCCCGGTGAAGTCCTGCGTCTTCTGACTAAAGACGGGTTAATCAGTGTCCTGCTGTGGGGACCGTGTTATTGTGTGTGTCCGCTGACAGCTTATTTTGACTGCTGTGTCTTTGTTTGTATGGCCTCCTTCTACCTACTGGGGAGACAAATGCAGCTGGGCGTTGTGATACGGGCTATGTCACCATCATTGTGCACTTTTTCCGACGTTAATCGGTGCTCGCGAACAGGACCTGCCCTCTCAGACTATGTTAGGCTACGTGGGAGATGTTCGTTGTTGTGTTTGTGTACATTTTGGACAGTATTGTGTGCATTTGGTTAGCGCAATGGACTTGCAAGCCAGAGGTAGTTGGATTAATCTCCCAGTGTGTGCGTGTGCCTCAGTGTTTGCACGTGCATGTGTGTGTACAGCCAGATTATTCCGCATGGCTACCGCTTAGCCGATGTTTTAATTGTAATAACCCATATTTAATGTAAAAAAATAGCTTGATGATTATCCTCCAAAAAACGGTTATTAATGCGAAAAATCATAATTTTTCACATATTTGGGATTTGTGTTCATATACACCATGTGCTTAATTTATTAACAACCGCTTGGTGTGGATTAATGCAGTATAGGATAACTTCGTTTTAAAACTACTCTATATCTACAAAAGAACGTTTATCTGCCCATGTATTTCGGAGGTGTAGATACACTCCGGATTTTCCGCCGTCACAAAAAGCGGTTCGTTTGTTTGCTCATCGCTGCCATGCGCGTGACAATCGCACAGCTCGTTAATG